ACTCTTTCCAGAGCCAGGCTTCAACACTTCCCTGCTGGGAAGAGCATTCCAGTGGTTTCCAAGCAGTGGCTCCTACAGCTAGTAGGAGGCTTTGGTCAAGTTACAGAATTAATTACCCCCAAAAGTTCCTTCCACCACTCGTCTGAGCATTGCAAAAGGTGTAGTTTAAGCCACAGAAGACATTCAAACTCCTAAAAAGGAAGATATTTATATCCAGAGAATTCAATCATCCGCACCATATGGGGCAGGACAATCTGCTACTGTTTTGCAGGAGCTGAAAAGCTTTTCTTCCAAGTAAAACCTCCTTATTTTTTAGGTTAGAATCTCTTTGATTAGGTTATTCCTTATGTCTCTTAATGACATCTTCATCCCCATTTTCCATGTTGGAACACCAGACTAAGATGGGAGGGAATTTGGGAAGCTCCAAGCATTTTTGGCAATCAGAGCTATGTTAGTACATAATAAGAGAAGCATTAATCAGAGCAAAATCTTTATGTACCAAAAAGCTCTTCAAATCCTGACATGTCCCAGCAGTTTGTAGTCCCTTCTCCAAGAGCTGGAGCAGCTCTGACATCACAGTCTCCAGGATTGCGTATCCCTGTGCTGCCACTCATCATCCAGTTACTATTCCCATTGATAATATTCCACCAGTTATCATTTTCCCTCTTTGTTTTAAATACAAATAAGCCTATCCTACCCCCCAACCCTACAACAAGTGTTACATTAAATCCAGTTTCAGAGGATAAGGGGACGGATAAGGGGATGGATAAGGGGATGGATAAGGGGATGGATAAGGGGATTTTTCCTGCAACTTCTCAAGTGAATACAAGAGACAAAATCACTATTCCAAGATATTTAATAAGAAGGAATTACAGATGGAAAGTCCTCCTGGCACATGAAATTCAGCTAATATACAGCTTGAGGTTGGGTCACTTCTTACAAAGTATATTCCATTCTTTGGGACATGTTGGACTAATAAAATCCACAAAATACTGAGTCAGGTGCAACAGTTGGTGCTAAAACCCACAACAATGCAAAATATGGCACAAAGAATTCTAAACTCAATGCTAAAGTGATGAATATTTCTGTTTGGCAAGGCAGAGTTGGATTCATTCAGCTCCAAGATTCAATCCCAGGTTCAGTTAACACAGATTTGGGGCAAAAGAGCCTTTAAAATCCAGGAAATAATTAGTTGTGTAAACAGATCTTTCATTTCACAGTAAACCACCAGTGATTTGGGTATGAGGAACACCAGGAGAAGCCTAGATAATGATGTATTTCACGGTAAATAGCTTATTTAGGCAGAATCATCACCATATTCAGCAAGTAAAGTGCATGCCAGGAACAACTGGGGCTGGAATAGGATGAAGGAATACAAACCAAGGGAGAGGAAGAGCTTGCAAACAACTTCTCTACATGATTTACTGTCCCTGTCTTTCAAAATTAGGCTGAAACAAGTAAATTTCACAGCAGCTCTTAGTGGGATAGACACTTGGAAGCTTTATAGGAATAAATATTGCACCAAAATGTTGGATTTGAAAGCAAGACAAGAATATAAATTAAAAACACTTAAAAAAAGACATAAACAATTAAAAATTGACATACTCCAACAGCTACTTCGAAATAAAATAGCTGCTAAAGTGGAGGAATTGATGAAATGAGAGTTCTCCATGGATTATCTGAAATCTCTCCTATATAGTATCAACAATTTGGGTTGGGGGGGGAGGTCTCTGCTGTCCTGTGCTCGTACTAGAGCCAACTGGAAACTCAACAGAACTATTAAGACACCAATTCCCTTTTAGTTAAGAAATTCAAGCCTCTAAGTCTTGAAATGTTTCATCACCACTTAGTGCAAATAAATCAAAGCCACAAGAGAGAGATTTGTACAATCACAACCATCAGGTGTTTTCAGCTGTAACCAAGTCTTCAGGACTCTTATTAAATCTTGGGGTATATTAAAGACAGGTTCATTTAGATAAATTTAATTTAGATGAATGTAACCTGTTCAATCTATTTGCTGAGGGAACAGAAGGTTTTCTCACCATCATTGGGTCTCCTCATCATTCACTTCCTCCAAAAAGCCTCAATGATTTGCAGATGGACACATGGCCCTTAGTGCACCTATTTAGTGTTTTAAAGAAAGACCCTGACAGGGAATGAATAATCATCTCAAGTGGCCTCATACGCAGTTCCTTTCCCTAAAAAACCCTAGAACTTCCAAAAGCAGCAACATAAAAAAGCACAGAAAAGTTGACATAAAAAAGCACAGAAAAGTTGAGTCACATTCTATCACATTCCTTCATGTCTACAGATTATCTGAACTCAAAAATTCACTGTTGTTGTTTAACCTCAATTAAATCTTCACTGTTCTCATCCTAAAACAGCCTCCTAACATCATCCAAACCTGGAAACACTCTCAAACCACTCAGGAACTTGACACCAGCAGCACAGGATTCCAGACAACGTCACAAACACCTCTCAGGCAATCCAAGTGCCTATGAAAGAAAGAGGCTTGCAGAATCCAGATCCTTGATCCTCCTGTTCCTCACATTCCCATTCCCACCAGCTCCTGGGAGCTACGTTAGCTTCTTTATCCTGCGGTTCTGCTTGTGGATGTTGAGTGTGGTGCGATCCACAGAGGTAGTGATGGAATCCAGGGCTTCATCCTGTCTCTCCAGCTCAGCTTCAGTCTCCAAGGCAAGGCCCTTCAGCTTCTTCAGGATCTGTCAGAAGAGAACACTGAAAGCTTTGAGCAAATGCCCAGTGAGTTCTGGGAGAAACAGCACAGACCTGTGGCAGTTCATTCATTGCTTTGAATTTTAGGATAGTCTGGGTTAGAAAGGACCTTCAAGATCATCTCATGCCAATCCCGTGCCATGGGCAGGGGCACCTCCCACTAGACTAGGTTGCTCCAAGCCCCATCCAGTCTGGCCTGGAACACTTCCAGGGATGGGGCAGCCACAGCTTCTCTGGGCA